GTGCTGAAAAGATGTGGATGTCTGATGGCAATACTCAATCTGAATGACATTATGTACACTACATGACATACTGAAACAGGAAAGGGCCTTCCCCAAACTGTTGCCACAAAGTTAAGCACAGAATTGTCTAGAATGTAATTGTATGCTGTAGCATTAAGATTTCCCTTCACTGGAACAAAGGGGCCTAGCCCGAACCATGAAAAACAGCCCCAGACCATTATTCCTCCTTCACCACACTTTACAGTTGGCACTATGCATTCTGGCAGGTAGTGTTCTCCTGGCATCCGCCTAACCCAGATTCGTCTGTCGGACTGCCAGATGGTGAAGCGTGATTCATCACTCTAGAGAACGCGTTTCCACTGCTCCAGAGCTTTACACCACTCCAGCCGACACTTAGCATTGAACATGGTGATCTTAGGCTTGTGTGCGGCTGCTCGGCCAGCGAAACCCCTTTCATGAAGCTCCCGAGTAACAGTTATTGTGCTGATGTTGCTTCCAGAGGCGGTTTGGAACTCGGTAGTGAGTGTTGCAACCGAGAACAGATCATTTTTACGCGCTACACGCTTCAGCACTCGCGGTCCCGTTCTGTGAGTTTGTGTGGCCTACCACTTCGCGGCTGATCGTTGTTGCTCCTAGAAGTTTCCACTTCACAATAACAGCACTTACAGTTGACCGGGGCTGCTCTAGCAGGGCAGAAATTAGAAATTCTATGACGGTGCCACGTTGAAAGTCACTGAGCTCTTCAGTAAGGTCATTCTACTGCCAATGTTTGTCTTTGGAGATTGAATGGCTGTGCGCTCGATTTTATACACCTGTCAGCAACAGGTGCGGCTAAAATAGCCAAATCCACTAATTTGAAGGGGTGTCCACATACTTTTGTATATATAGTGTGTATGTGCAATATGGTCCAAAGACAATAGACAGTTTTTGGTTTAAGAAGTTTGCCTTTTTGATTTCCACTACATTTTATCATCATCTTCCTAACCACAAAACAGCACAGAGTGCCATAGCAGACACTGTTTTCTCCCGGGCCCTTGTCTGTCCCTCCTCTCCAACAGATCAACAGCTGCTTACATGGAGGCTGCTCAGCATCGTTAGGTAAGGAAGGTAGGTGACTGAGCCAAAGAGGTCAGCACCTTCCCGCTCATCTGAATCTCGTATTGTACATATCATTAATTCTGAATTGCTAATAAAAAGGTCTGGGAGCTTATTGATAGCTTTTTATCGCCGCACTTATTTCATGTCTTGTCTGGCTTGCAATAACCTATACAATTATTCATAAGGTAGCTACCACTATGTTGCCTTGCTACTGTGCCACAACACTCTTGCCAAGCTGCTGAAGCAACTGAAATATACAGATATGTTTCAGGTAGGTTATGCATTATAACACCCGTTTACCAGTTTGGTTATGAATAGAGGGACAATTTGTTGCCTTCTGCAGGTTTTTCATCAAAACTTTGTGATCACATGAAGATTGCACACTTAGCTATTTGTGGAGAAACATAAGAGATAGAAAGGCTTTAAGTGCTGGTGGGCGAGTCTCCTCTCTCTGCCTAAGTGCTACATGTTATTGCCGTTTCACAAGGAGGACATTTTATTAAGCCCAATAAAGTAATGGATTGCCATGGGAATTGTCACTTCTTCAGGGAAAAGTGCAGTATGAACATGGTAAAAGCTGTAGTAGAAGGTGCTATTAAAAATTTATTTGGAAGTACTCACTGAATCAGTTGCTTTCAGTGGAAAAAGCAGCACACTCCCAACAGCCAATAGTAATAGGGGGTTTCTGTCTCTTGGTTTGTTAGTGTGAATGTGTCAGTGTCTCTAAGTGTAATAACAAATCAAGCAATATGTAATGAACTTAACTAAGCCCACTGAAAGACTCACATGACATCGTCTGCAATTTCAGCCATCGTTACTGGACAGCAATGCCCTCTGCTGTTTGAAAATGTTGCTGCAGGTGGAAATGTGAAGGAAATAGAAGAGTTGAATCCAGAGTACTTGTGTTTATCTTTTTAACCCTTATTTAACTATTATTTTACCAGTAAGTTGACTGAGAACACATTCTCATTTACAGCAACGACCTGGGGAATAGTTACAGGAGAGAGGAGGGGGGAATGAATGAGCCAAATGTAAACTGGGGAAGATTAGGTGGCCATGATGGTATGAGGGCCAGATTAGGAATTTAGCCAGGAAACCGGGGCGAACACCCTTACTCTTACGATAAGTGCCATGGGATCTTTAGTGAGCACAGAGTCAGGACCCCTGTTTAACGTCCCTTCTGAAAGATGGCACCCTATACAGGGCAATGTCTCCAATCACTGCCCTGGGGCATTGGGATAATATTTTTTTTACCAGAGGAAAGTGTGCCTCCTACTTGCCCTCCAACACCACTTCCAGCAGCATCTGGTCTCACATCCAGGGACCGACTAGGACCAACCCTGCTTAGCTTCAGAGGCAAGCCACTAGTGGGATTACATTTGTGATTATACTATACTATAGATCAGTACATACATACAGTGGGGAGAACAAGTATTTGATACACTGCCGATTTTGCAGGTTTTCCTACTTACAAAGCATGTAGAGGTCTGTAATTTTTATCATAGGTACACTTCAACTGTGAGAGACGGAACCTAAAACAAAAATCCAGAAAATCACATTGTATGATTTTTAAGTAATTAATTTGCATTTTATTGCATGACATAAGTATTTGATCACCTACCAACCAGTAAGAATTCTGGCTCTCACAGACCTGTTAGTTTGTCTTTAAGAATTATTTTATTATTATTTTTTTTTTCATTTAGCAGACGCTCTTATCCAGAGCGACTTACAGGAGCAATTAGGGTTAAGTGCCTTGCTCAAGGGCACATCGACAGATTTTTCACCTAGTCGGCTCGGGGATTAGAACCAGCGACCTTTCGGTTACTGGCACAACGCTCTTACCCACTAAGCTACCTGCCGCCCCTAAGAAGCCCTCCTGTTCTCCACTCATTACCTGTATTAACTGCACCTGTTTGAACTCGTTACCTGTATAAAAGACACCTGTCCACACACTCAATCAAACAGACTCCAACCTCTCCACAATGGCCAAGACCAGAGAGCTGTGTAAGGACATCAGGGATAAAATTGTAGACCTGCACAAGGCTGGGATGGGCTACAGGACAATAGGCAAGCAGCTTGGTGAGAAGGCAACAACTGTTGGCGCAATTATTAGAAAATGGAAGAAGTTCAAGATGACGGTCAATCACCCTCGGTCTGGGGCTCCATGCAAGATCTCACCTCGTGGGGCATCAATGATTATGAGGAAGGTGAGGGATCAGCCCAGAACTACACGGCAGGACCTGGTCAATGACCTAAAGAGAGCTGGGACCACAGTCTCAAAGAAAACCATTAGTAACACACTACGCCGTCATGGATTAAAATCCTGCAGCACACGCAAGGTCCCCCTGCTCAAGCAAGCGCATGTCCAGGCCCGTCTGAAGTTTGCCAATGACCATCTGGATGATCCAGAGGAGGAATGGGAGAAGGTCATGTGGTCTGATGAGACAAAAATAGAGCTTTTTGGTCTAAACTCCACTCGCCGTGTTTGGAGGAAGAAGAAGGATGAGTACAACCCCAAGAACACCATCCCAACCATGAAGCATGGAGGTGGAAACATCATTCTTTGGGGATGCTTTTCTGCAAAGGGTACAGGACAACTGCACCGTATTGAGGGGAGGATGGATGGGGCCATGTATCGCGAGATCTTGGCCAACAACCTCCTTCCCTCAGTAAGAGCATTGAAGATGGGTCGTGGCTGGGTCTTCCAGCATGACAACGACCCGAAACACACAGCCAGGGCAACTAAGGAGTGGCTCCGTAAGAAGCATCTCAAGGTCCTGGAGTGGCCTAGCCAGTCTCCAGACCTGAACCCAATAGAAAATCTTTGGAGGGAGCTGAAAGTCCGTATTGCCCAGCGACAGCCCCGAAACCTGAAGGATCTGGAGAAGGTCTGTATGGAGGAGTGGGCCAAAATCCCTGCTGCAGTGTGTGCAAACCTGGTCAAGACCTACAGGAAACGTATGATCTCTGTAATTGCAAACAAAAGTTTCTGTACCAAATATTAAGTTCTGCTTTTCTGATGTATCAAATACTTATGTCATGCAATAAAATGCATATTAATTACTTAAAAATCATACAATGTGATTTTCTGGATTTTTGTTTTAGATTCCGTCTCTCACAGTTGAAGTGTACCTATGATAAAAATTACAGACTTCTACATGCTTTGTAAGTAGGAAAACCTGCAAAATCGGCAGTGTATCAAATACTTGTTCTCCCCACTGTAGTTAAGGGTTAGTCTTTGCCTTCTTCCAAAGTTATTTATAGGCATTCCACTCAATCAGATGGATTGGTAGTCCTCTAGAGATATAGGCCTAATCAGAACAGACCTACATTGATTATGATAGAAATGTTCATCATTATAGTGCTAACATGCAGAGAAAAGAGAAGACTATTCACGTCAATCTGTGTACATATACATGACATCACCAATACATCAATTAAAGTAATTACAGTGTCAGTGACCCGTAGTTAAACATACACTGTGATAACAATAACCTGACAAAGAGGGAGGACACTGGAATGGAAAATGGCACCCCTAACTGCATAGAATAAACGTTATGTCAGGGCTCCTCTCTGCACCAAACCAAACAATGCCTTAGAGCTGCTGGGGTCTGATGAGGACACTGTGATGAGGACACTGCTGGGACAGATAAAATACATTCATCAGTCTTGCTGCTGCTGTACAGCCCTCTGAATAAAAAAATCACCCTGCATTCCCACAAACTCGAACTGCCTTTACACTGGCAAAATAACCTTGCATCTAGCACATCACCTATTTACTGATAGTAAATACTGTAGAGATAGCTTGGTTATCTTAGCACTTCAACAACAGGGTTTGTATTGTGCCTCAGACAGATATGCTTGATTGAGTTTGTTAATGGCATGGACAGCCTCAGTCCCAATTAGTGCTGCATAAATGTCATGACACTAATGGTGTTCTGTAAAATGAAAACAAGAAAAGCTGATAGCAAGGGACACAATCAGGAACTAGGGCTACACAAATTAAATGAAGTCAATTTCTCATCATAATCATGAATGCTTACATAAACCTGTGTATTTTTATCTTCTGCAGTTCAGGTTGTTTTTCTGGTTGGTCACCCCTTTAGCCAGCTAGTGCAGCTTCATAATGGATATACAATTTAACTTAGAAAGGGACATAGCTACTTTCATAACACTAAATCTAATCACTAAATTGAACATCTCTTTTACAGTTAGGCCTGACTTCCATTTACAGTAATAACCAGACGATGGCAACTGCTGATTGGCTGTGAATTCAGAGGTCACTTTAAGTAAAAGCCATCTAAACATCTCACAATCTGCTCCTGATTCTCTGGAATGAGTTATTTATTGTCATGACCTCTCCATTCCTAATGGAGGACAGACAGACAGTCCTAATTTTCATGAAATGCTTTTTAGGTTCTAAGTGCTTTCAAAACACAATGAAAGTTTTAAATATCAATATAATTTAGCACATTATGTCATCACACAAAACAATACACAACTTTGTCAAAGAAGATGCTGATTCATGTCTTTATAAACACAACCAATAGCAAGACTACAGAACCATCAGCAGAGGTCAATCTCCTGTCTCCAGTACTACAGTTCAGAGCACTTAGGGTCATAACTCAGCCTGTTATTTAGTCTTCTCCAGTGGAAGGCAGCATGCGGTTTTGAACGAGGCTATCCATTCATTTGATTTTCCTGTCATGCTCCTCCTTGCTGTGAGGCCCTGGGAGAAAACCCATTGACTTATTGATTAGACTGAGAGCACAGGCCACATGCCCGCCTACCTTATATGAACTCATCAGTCTGTCAGCTTCTCCCCTGGCCGTAGCCTGCCAGCCAAAGGTGAGGAATGGTAACTCTCACTGGTATAAGCTAGAGGGCATTACTTTACTTTTCAGCGGCAATTAATATTAAGAAGATCCATGAAATCTTACAAACGCAAACAAATCTATCCAATGCATTTCATCTTGGCCAATCAAGACCTCAAGTCATGCACCTTCAAACTGGGAACATTGCTGTTGTGTCGACAGTGTCATTTTATAAAGAGTCTGAGCTACATAAATATGGAATAGAATGTCAAAAACAAAGATTTGAGACTTGAAAAGTTCAATCTCAAAAGAGAAATGGATTGTTCAAAACATGCAGTGAAAGCAAAAAGGTTCCCAGTAATTTTTGCGGAAGGTCACTTTAGTGAGTTGTCTCTTTTGTCTCTGCAGCGCCCCACCCCATCCACCATCCTCCTCTACATTGTCCTCTGAGCTGAGGACCACTGCAGCACTCAGAGTCTGGATGTCCCCCAACACTGACAGCAGTGAGTCTAACAGGGAACACACAGAACAGTTCAATGGTTACTACTATGTGTCTATAGATATATGTTATCTGTAGTCAAATTACAGTTTCATTCTGTTTTATGTGTTATACATGTTATAAATGGTGCCTTCAGAAAGTATTCACACCCCTTGACTTTTTCCACATTTTGTTTTGTTAAAGCCTGCATTTAAAATGTATTATATTGAGATTTTGTGTCACTGGCCTACACACAATACCCAATAATGTCAAAGTGGATTTACGTTTTTCACATTTTTACAAATTAATAAAAAATATAAAGTTGAAATGTCTTGTGTCAATAAGTATTCAACCCCTTTGTCATGGCAAGCCTAAATAAGTTCAGGAGTAGAAATGTGCTTAACAAGTCACATAATAAGTTGCATGGACTCACTCTGTGTGCAATAATAGTGTTTAACATGTTTTTTCATGACTACCTCATCTCTGTACCCCACACATACAATTATCTGTAAGCTCCCTCAGTCGAGCAGTGAATTTCAAACACAGATTCAAAGACCAAGGAGGTTTTCAATACCTCGCAAAGAAAGGCACCTATTGGTAGATACATAAAAAAAAGCAGACATTGAATATCTCTTTGAGCATGGTGAAGTTATTAATTACACTTTGGATGGTGTATCAATACACCCAGTCACTACAAAGATACAGGCGTCCTTCCTAACTCAGTTGCCGGAGAGGAAGGAAACCGATCAGGGATTTCACCATGAGGCCAATGGTGACTTTAAAACAGTTACAGAGTTTAATGGCTGTGATAGGAGAAAACTGAGGATGGATCAACAACATTATAGTTACTCCACAATACTAACCTAAAATGACAGAGTGTCTGTACAGAATAAAAGTATTCCAAAACATGCACCTGTTTGCAATAAGGCACTAAAGTAAAACTGCAAAAAAAAATGGCAAAGAAATTAACCTTATGTCCTGAATACAAAGCGTTATGTTTGGGGCAAATCCAACACAACACATCACTGAATACCACTCTTCATATTTTCAAGCATGGTGGTGGCTGCATCATGTTATGGGTATGTTAGTCATCGGCAAGGACTAGGGAGTTTTTTAGGCTAAAAATAAATGGAATAGAGCTAAGCACAGGCAAAATCGTAGAGGAAAACCTGGTTCAGTCTGCTTTTGAACAGACACTGGGAGACAAATTCACCTTTCAGAAGGACAATAACCTAAAACACAAGGCCAAATATACACTGGAATTGCTTACCAAGACAACAATGAATGTTCCTGAGTGGCCTAGTTACAGTTTAAATCAGCTTGAAAATCTATGGCAAGACTTGAAAATGGCTGTCTAGCAATGATCGACAACCAACTTGACAGAGCTTGAAGAATCCAGGTGTGCAAAGCTCTTAGAAACGTACCCAGAAAGACTCACAGCTGTAATCACTGCCAAAGGTGATTCTAACATGTATTGACTCAGGGGTGTGAATACTTATGTAAATGAGATATTTCTGTATTTCATTTTCAATACATTTGCAAAAATGTATAAAAACATTTTCACTTTGGGGGTATTGTGTGTAGATGGGTGATAAAAATATATTTAATCAATGTTGAATTCAGGCTGTAACACAACAACATGTGGAATAGGTCAAGGGGTATAAATACTTTGCTAAGGCACTGTACTTGTATTATATAATACAAGACGGTATTCATATGAAGAGGTAATGTGACAAAATGGTGTGTAGGTGGAAGTTACCTATGGTCTGTGGCTTGTCTTTGGCTTTCAGAGTGTTGCTCTTCCCTGAGGGTCTCTGCTGCTCCTCCAAGGCCACAGAAGTCTGCAGGGCTGTGGTCCGAGCTGCCTCATACTCACTCATCAGACCCCTCTCACGCACTGTCCCCTGGGGACACTAATTATACAAACCTAAAAAATGTATCTTGAAAGTTGTCAGTTTCACAAAACAATAGCAGAACATTTCTTAACATGGTAAACTTGCAATTAGTCTCATGGGACCATCCTTCCAAATCCCGTCTTGTTGACTCTTTTGCATTTAAATGGAAGCGCTGGCATTCAACCCTAGCATTTGATTGGCTCTGAGTAGAAAATGACGTTCCCCCTCAGGAGAAAAATGTGTTTTTCATTTTTCTTGTTCTGTCCGTCCCTCTTTTCCTACCACGGCGGACAAAGGTCTAATAGCCTATGCAGCGTAATATTTTGTATCTTATGTTAGCTTGCTTGTTCGAAGTCAAAAAATATTTCAGAAACACCCCCTCTGTTCAGAGCTCCAGCCATGCAAAATATATGGTTGGTTTGATAGTAGCAACACGTCACTAGTTTCCATCTAGACCATTTTGCCGAGGGCCAAGGTTATATTTCCTCGCCGTCAACATTTGCCAAAAATAATCTGTAGGGCTGTACACAGTCAAGAAACTGTATGAATGGTGGTCCATTATCATTTCTACACAGTTTCGATTTGGTTTTAGTCATACAGTATATTGAGTTGGTCCCCCACCCTTACGCCTTCTTAGCTTCTTTCTGCGAACAAGCTTTCGGAATGTACGTGAGTGAAGCCGGAGGGTCCGTGGATGACTTACAATAAACCAAGACACTATGAACTTACCAAATGTAGGTTTCTGTCCTTGTCCTGAAGTAGTTTCTGTAGATCCTGGATTTCCCTCTTTGTGTGTTCACTCTGGAGGCAATGTGCTTCTCTCTCCTGCTCCCTCTCTCCCTCTGCCTGTATCTCAAATTGACACAGGGCCAGCACTACAACAGAAAGCACAGACAGCAATCTTAGTTACACTGCAGTAAACCATTTCTGCTGATGCATGTATGAATCTCTCACTTTACATTTCCCTTCCACCCGTCTGCGTTGAGATGTACAGTATGTTTAGACGTGTTGAGTTAGTCATGTATACGCTACCTGCTTTGGTGTGTTCTCTTCTTGCCGTGTTGAGTAGAGACTCCATCACTCTCAGCTGTTGAGCACAGCAATCCTCTGTCTCAAACACTCTCTCCTGCAAGGCTGACAGGTCAAAACCAGGGACGGTGTAAGGAGAGATGCAGGCTTGTCAGCCCTAAACATAACTAGAGTACACTGTGTGACATGTCAACAAATCGATCACTTCAAGAGATAAATTCAACTGATGAATAGAACATTCTTCATAGAAAATAAACTAAATTACAATGGGATTCCCTCTCACCTCTGTCACTGGTCTCTTGTTGGCTAATCAGCTGTGCATGGAGCTGCTCCAGGTTGAGGCTGCTCTCCTCCAGCTGTGTGTGGGCCTCCTGCAGCCTCTGCTGGGCCTCCTCTCTTGCAGCCTGGGACTCCTGGGCCTCCCCCCTGCTCCGCTCTGCAGCCTGCCTCAGCTGCCTCACCTCACTGTCGACTGGAGAGGAAGAGGAACACAGACAGTGTACTGTATACAGAGTATTACTACTGCCACGTGGACAGGATATACAAAGACAAGGTGCATGCAAATCTACTATAGGTACAGTTACAGGATACAAGGAATTTATACAAGACTGAATCTCTCTAAACAGATGACTAAACAACATACACTGCTCACGGACATCAGCCAGGGCACTCTCAATGAGCTCTGGGGTTCTCTTGAGCTCCTGCGTGACCTTGTCTCTCTCCTCACACGCCGAGGCCAGCTCTGCCTGGAGCTCTCTGACAGAGGCACTGTGAAAAGAGAGAGAGAGGACAACACAACTAGTAAGGCACTGGGAGATGTAGTGGTAGTGAGACAAACTGAGGAAATGGTCTACAAGGCAAGGCCTTTTCCTCATTAATAACTGTTGGGTTCAGTGAGACCCAGGGCCAGGGTGGTCCGGTGTGGTCAGTTATCATACCTCTCAGAGAAAGGGTTGGCTGCTTTAGTGGACTTGCTGCACTCTCCATAGGGCCACCTTCCTCATCATCAGTCCTGCCAGACAACAGTACAGTGAATATGTGGTCAAACTAAGCAGACTGAGACAGAATAAAACAGTGCACAGGATTATCAATAGGCACACGCAATTTAAACCCACTGTTCTCAGATTTCCTGGGGGGAGAAATAATTTCAGATCTATAAACAGTCCTTGAATTGTGTCCACTCTTCTTTTGGCGCAGGTCAGCCTCTGCCAAAGCTGCTCAGACGTGTTTGGACGGGCTCCACCTCTGACATATTAGCCTCTAATACCTGACTGAATCTGTAGAGAGGAACTGGTACTTTAACAGAAGATTTTACATTAAATGACGATTATATGATGGAGTAGTACACAAATTCACCCTGTTCCATTTGACATTTTATAAGAGATGCTATGAAGTGATATGGACTGTGAAATCTGGGATTGAGTCTGGAAAATAATAGGTGCCCAACGTACAAAATGACAGCTACTACAACTGAAATATCTCAGGCGAAGCTTTTGTTGTATAGTGGTTGTCAGGTGGACCTGTCTGTCAGCTCTTTACCTCTGGACAGCCTCTGTCACGGTCTTCAGTCCAACCCCAGCCTTCTGACTCCAGCTTGTGTTCTCCCTCTGAGTCCTGGCCACAGCCTGCGTCACGGCCTGACAGGACCAGACAAACACGGTTAGCATCAAAAACACCCCGCCACCAGACAACTACTAGGGTCTCCTCTCTGATGAGGTCATAGTGACCTTTTGATTACATATCGACTGTTAAATGTCAAAATTCTGAAAAGTATCTTAATGTCATCTCACACTGTGTCTTCAGGGTCCAATTGGGTCTTCAGAGAATTGTTCGCTCATTTGTCGTCATTACTCATCATTACAGAGTATTTCATCTGGAAATTTGAATCATTGTAAAAAAAAAAATCTAGGAGAGATTTTGTGTATTCTCTTAAAAGGACCCCCCAGAGGAAGTTGCCGCAATTATTTCGACGTAATTTCCTGTCCTAGAGAGGAAATGCACGTTTAGGTTCCACCTCCGAAGAATGACAAAGGCTACTTATACACATTCACAAATATATATTTTGATTTGTTTAACACTTTTTTGGTTACTACATGATTCCATATGTGTTATTTCATAGTTTTTGATGTCTTCACTATTATTCTACAATGTAAAAAATATTAAAAATAAAGAAAAACCCTTGAATGAGTAGGTGTCTGCAAACTTTTGACTGGTAGTGTATTTTTTTTAATACAGACTAGCTAAAAGAAATGTGAAAATGGTCTTATTATCCAACGGACTTGGATAGTTTTCTAGTAAAAAAAACAACATAAGGTGCAAAAACATAAGTTTACACCCCCTATAATTTAATTTGCTCCATGGCTCAGGGCCAAGTGGACACAAGGCTGTTTGGCTCATCTCAGTCGGGAAGGGGAATAACTGCAATGCAGTGGGTGGTAACATTAAAATAAAACCCAGCCCTGGGGCCTCCCGAGTGGCGCAGCGGTCTAAGGCCGTGACCGGGAGTCCCATAGGGCGGCGCACAATTGGCCCAGCGTTGTCCGAGTTAGGGGAGGGTTTGGCCGGGGGGCTTTACTTGGCTCATCACGCTCTAGCGACTCCTTGTGGCGGGCCGGGCACCTGCAGGCTGACTTCGGTCATCAGTTGGACGGGGTTTCCTCCGACATATTGGTGCGGCTGGCTTCCGGGTTAAGCGGGCGGGTGTTAAGAAGCGCTGTATGGCGGGTCATGTTTCGGAGGACGCATGGCTCGACCTTCGCCTCTCCCGAGCCCGTTGGGGAGTTGCAGCGATGAGACAAGATCGTAATTGGATCGCAATTGGATATCACAAAATTGGGGAGAAAAATTTGCACAGTACGGATGTCACTTCAAGCCCAAATATATCATGCTTTGACTAAAACGATGACTTACTTACTTAAATCGTTGTGCAACATCATGGGTAAGCTTGGCTATCGTCTTTCAGCTTGAAAATGATGGATTTCTACTGGTGTGGGCGTTTAATACTGAAGGGTGGTGCGTAACAGATTTTTCATGAGAAGCAGCACCGTCTCCTGTCCTAACACAGCATAAGTAATTGGCACCTCCCTGTGGCAATGGCAGATGCATCCTGTTTCAACAAAATGGAGGAGAGCCATCCTATGAAGGGATGCATTGAGACAATCCCACAGAGGCTGTCCACTGTTCCTCCTCACCTCCCTGGCCATCCTCTCCAGGTCCAGCTCAGCTGTTCTGTCCTGCAGGCTATGCTGGAACACACTAGACTGGTACTTCTCCTTCTTCACCTCCTGCTCCAGAGACGAGATCTGAAACAAAAGGACACACAATAGACTCATGGATGTTTCTGCATGTTTTGAAAATGTCCCTCATCACAATTCACCTGTGAATAGACTGAACATAGTGGGTGGTCATTTGTCTGTTTAAAAAATATATAAACCTCTTAAAGGAACATACAATTGAGTGAAGTTTGTCCTTTTCTCCCCTCAGTTCGATGTCCTTTGAGCGAAGCTGGACCAACAACATGAAGACCTTCTCTCTCCAGCGGCGCAGAACCCGAGTGCCTTTAGGCCCATTCTTCAGGAGAGGGTTTGACAGAGTCTGTGGACGTGACTAAGCCTTTACTTAACCCTCTCAGCTCTTAGATAGTCACACACATGGGGGAATGGATATTAATCAAATCTCTGACAAAAATAAGGGGATTTTACATCAGCTATGGTGCTGTTAATAATTGACCTTCTCAACCATCTCCTCCTCTTGTAGGGCCAATATGTCGTTCACAGAGTTGAGTCTATAGAGGAATTCAGATTAGAATACTATAGACTACTTATTATATAGTAATATGCAAATATGCTCATAACATACATTCATATTAAATCAGCCAAGATACACCTTGTTCTACAGGCAACACTTTCTCAGTTAAAGCACAAACTGTCTTTTTCCTTGTGTTTCCTTAGAGCAGGGGTTCCCAAACCTTTTCACTCAGGCCCCCCTTCCAGCACTGGGGAACAATTTATATTTAACCAATAAATGGGGTGAAGCAGTGATTCAGAATTGCAGTCATTTGGGGCTACAAGCATAGCTGGCGTGGCTTCTACACAATTTTTTTGGACAGACAATATACCGTTTTTAAATCATGCCATTGTTGCTGATGGTAGGAAAAACGCCACAGTTGCTGCAAGCTAGACACAAACCAACTGAACTTTCCCCCAGTTACTACCACACATAAAACAAAGGTGAGCTGGGATGACAATCTACAAAAAACGTAGAGTTCTTGTGAATAACTGTTACCTGGGTGCTGAGTCGCTCTTTTTCCTCTCTCTTATCTGAGCTCAGTCTTAGTCGTATATAACTCCTACCACATCGCCTCTATTTCATGACTCTGCCTGCAATACAGGATGTAAGAAGGGAGGAAATATCACTGGCAAAACTTTATTTAAAGTAGGCCTACTTCGAATAGAAGCAGGATACACATTTGTCAGTAAAATGTTCAATATTGAATGAGGAATGTAACATCTAGGCTACTTACACAGTGTACAAAACATTAAGAACACTTTCCTAATATTGAGTTGCACACCCCTCCCCCTTTTGCCCTCAGAACAGCCTCAATTCGTCGGGGCATGGACTCTACAAGATGTCGAAAGCGTTCCACAGGGATGCTGGCCCATGTTGACTCCAATGCTTTTCACATTTGGTTGGATGTCCTTTGAGTGTGAAAAACCCAGTAGCGTTGCAGTTCTTGACACAAATCGGTGTGCCTGGCACCTACTACCATACCCCGTTCAAAGGCACTTCAATATTTTGTCTTGCCCATTCAGCCTTTGAATGGCACACATACACAATCCATGTCTCAATTGTCTCAAGGCTTAAAAATCCTTCTTTAACCTGTCTCCTCCCCTTCATCTACACTGATTGAAATGGATTTAACAAGTGATATCAAAAAGGGATCACAGCTTTCACCTGGTCAGTGTATATGCCATGATGATAAGTCACTGTTTATACACCCCAGTATAATGCCTGTTCAGAAAGCTTTCTTTGACCCTCATCTCCTCCCTCTGTCTCCCTGCAGTCTCTTTCAGTGCCTCTACCTGGCCTCTCAGTCTCTCTGACTCTGCCCTGAGACGCTCCGTGTCCAGCCTCCATTCTGTCTCCCATCTGGAGGCCTGCTCACCTCTCTCTCCAGATCTGAGTGTGGGGGGTGGAAGAAGCAGGTCTGGTGTTATGTCAATAAATAGACATTGGTAAAATTGAATGAAGTGGATTTCATAGACAAGGCATTAAAATGAATGGGTTGTGTATAGGGCAGCACCTGACCTTGCCCTGGAGTTAGCAAAATCCTCTGTTGACTTCATCCCTCTGGAGTTGTCTCCATGTAACAGAATCCTCTGGTTTTCTCTGCGCAGTTCCAAGAATTTCCTGTTTGGCCTGAGTGTTAGTGAGCCATGGGTTGGCAGGGCCAGAGTCTGATGGTGGTGTTGTGGCAGGGGTAACCCATGTTATTGGTGTTTTCCCTCGTCCCCTTGCAGTCCCTGGTACTGTGATTGAGGTAGACTGGATGCTTGCTGTGAAATGGAATGGGGGCATCAGTGTCCTCTGACTTCCCTGTATTTAATACATGAGGACGATTAACTTGCAAAAAGCACGTGACATGACACCTGCAAGATAGGTTCAAGATAAAAGGTTAACACAACATAATAATTCCATGCAGAAGCGTTCGAAAATAAACGCATTCATTGGACCAAAATTACTGGGAGTGAATGGTAGCAGAACAGAAAGTTTGTTATCAAAGTGGAAAATAAACAATCGGAGTGAATTTCTGCTAACTACTCAGAAAACACATAGCATAAGTGTTTTACTGTCATTCTATTCATTTAAAGTTTTTTCAAAACGTTTGGCGCAACTATTCACAACATGGACTACAACAAGATTCTACATAACTTATCTACAACTTTTGCTGCTGTCTAACTTAGTTAGATAGTTATACAACTAAGTAGTCAGCTAGCCATGTTACTTATATGCTACAGTAGGTGTAAAGAAATTACTGCAGTTTGCATTAGTTTCCAGCTAGCTAGCTTGCTAGGAGGATCACAACTTACTTGCAACAATTGATGCCATAAAATCGGACGGGGCATTGAGCTTCTCATCCTCATTGCGTCTTTCCATCAGAGAATCGTAAAATGACCAAAGTTCTACAACGAGTTACAAAAGACGACACTTTCTTGTACGCGCCATCACTTTGAACAACACTTTCATGGCAACGCGACGCCTGGTTCCCAAATAAATTGATGACGCTATGTCGCGCAGCGAGAGTCGAATGGATTCGGTTGTCAGTTCCAGTGTTGCCAATTTAGCTGCTATATTTCCAGACCCCTCCAGCTACTTTTATTGGTAAAAGATTCTAGCGACAAATTCACCTACTTTTCAGGCAACCTTTGGGTAGTTTTGACACTGAGGGTTTTGATGGTATTTAGCGACTTTTCCCAATCAATTCTGCCGCAAACGAGAGTTGGAGAAGCTGTCTGTGCAACAGAAGTCGCAGCAACACGCACACACAGGCAGGGAAGCTGAACAGGAGCGGGCGAAAACGCTAAATTGGGGACCGCAGCCGTGCAAATTGGTGCTGTGAGGTCGTCGCGGCAACGGCTAAACGTAATCTAGCGACAACTCAGCAGATCACACTGAAAAATATTTGGCAACACTGGTCTGTTCAGGCAGTCGTCTTGATGAGCCCTTCCCAGGTAGCCATCTATAGATGTGACTAGAAACTTCAGCGAGAATTAGAAACTTGTCTGCCGAAGTTGGGACTTGGGAGTGTGTTCACAATAATTTCGTTTTTACCGGAGTAGCTAATTTTTTGTTTATTTTACACAAAAATGTAGAGGTTAATGCCGTAGTTGTTGCCTACATTTTCGGTGAAAATCACTACAATAATTGTGCTTTAGCTGTCACCCTGGCCTGATGTTGGCTACACTATCTGGCTACTTCCCTCTCCTTACTGCAGCAAGTGGGTGCGAAGGACGTGCACCATGTAGCCAGTAGATCTAATAGTTGCAACTTCTAATAAACAGAAATGAATAGCACACTGTGACAAAACGAGCAAGTATAGTGTAGATAATCACTGTACCGTCCAAACCGCTGTGAAATAATATATTTTCCATAACCAAAAATATTGTATTTTCAGCTGTTTGATGCTGGTGTACAAAACCGAAAGTAAAAGAGCAAAAATGAAACTTAAGAACGGAAAGCATAGAAATAAGCACATAGAACAGATCTACCACTTAGACTTGCTTTCAATGAGAATGACAGATGTATAACTCACATTTCTATGTGAATTTGGTCTGGGTCGCCCAAAAAGTGACATATTGCAGCTTGAAGAAAAAAATATGTATATATATGTTTTATGTTTAGCTCACATAATATATATTGTGGTCCTCTGTAGCTCAGCTGGTAGAGCACGGTGCTTGTAACGCCAAGGTAGTGGGTTCGATCCCCGGGACCACCCATACACAAAAATGTATGCACGCATGACTGTAAGTCGCTTTGGATAAAAGCGTCTGCTAAATGGCATATTATTATTATTATTATATTTTAAAATATGCATTAAGGTGTCTGTAATAGAATAAACGTGGCAAAAACGTATGTAGACATTAATACATGCATTTCTATAGCTTCCAAAATATGGTGGGGGGTGCCAAGATGGAGGCACGGTGGCTTCAACACAGCGCCCCCTATAAGTCATCTAATGTATATAAATCATTGGTGGTAACAAGCGAAGACCCAACGCACAGACGGAAGGGGTATAAATATCTTTGCCAAAGATTATGGATATACTGACCAGATACACGTCTCTCCGCCATAACAGTGGAGCGGGCTGTCTAGCTCCCGCCTATCCTTTATTTGGATTGGTGGAGACATCTCATTATTGTAATCCTTTTTTAAATATTCGATGAGGGTTGTTGGGGTCAACCGCCGGTATTCAATAGGGAGAGACGCTATGGTACTAGTAGCCTCGTGACATTAATATGCATAGCCATCTCGAGACAACTCCGATGTTTTGTTTTTTTTATCTCAAAGTTGCCGGGATGTCACGTGTCCTACTTATATCAGTAGACTCGTAACAACTTAAGCAGTACAACACGTATATTAGATCAAATAAACCTCACATAGCAAATAAGCCATTACTGTTTTCGACATTCATTGACGTCCATACAAAAACTCCTTGCTTGGTGGGCGAAACAACGAAAAACTCCACCTGCTGGAGGGAGACAGATTTTCCGCTGAGTTGGGCCTTCCTCCTCTTCTTTGACCGACGCCACGCTGCAACAATAGCCTACTTCCTGTTTATGCAGTTAAGTGTGTGTTGTAGTTCTGCCTGGTCTCATAGACTAGACGTAACATGGTAAATGTAAACCCTGGATCTCAAATTAGTATGATATGGTAAGTTTGGTATGGTTACATAAGACATATGGGTGGGTACTTAAGGCAAAACCAAAATTAGGGTGGTTGGTCGGAGTGGATGGATGAATGGATGGATGTATAACGTGAATGTCTAGCAGCCCAAAGGTTGCAAGTTCGAATCTCATCACGGCCAACTTTAGCATTTTATCTAATTAGCAACGTTTCAACTACTTACTACTTTTGAGCTACTTTGCAACTACACTGAACAGAAATATAAACTCAACATGCAACAATTTAAATGATTTTAATGAGTTACACAGTTCATATAAGGAAATTAGTCAATTGAAATAAATGTATTTGGTCCTAATCTATGGATTTCACATGACTGGGAATACAGATATGCATCTGTTGGTCACAGATACCTTTAAAAAAAAAAGTAGGGGCGTGGATCAGAAAACCAGTCAGTATCTGGTTTGACCACCATTTGCCTCATACAGCGTGACACATCTTGTTGATCAGGCTGTTGATTGTGGCCTGTGGAATGTTGTCCCACTCCTCTTCAATGGCTGTGCGAAGTTGCTGGATATTGGCGGGAACTGGAATACGCTGTCGTACACGTCGATCCAGAGCATCCCAAACATGCTCAATGGGTGACATGTCTGGTGAGTATGCAGGCCATGGGAGAACAGGGACATTTTCAGCTTCCCGGAATTGTGTACAGACCCTTGCGACATGGGGCTGTGCATTATCATGCTGAAACATGAGGTGTTGGTGGCGGATGAATGGCACGGCAATGGGCCTCAGGAACTGGTCACGGTATCTCTGTACATTCAAATTGCCATTGATAAAATGCAATTGTGTTAATTCAATCAATCAAATTTGATTTATAAAGCCCTTTTTACATTAGCAGATGTCACAAAGTGCTATACAGAAACCCAGCCTAAAACCCTAAACAGCAAGCAATGCAGATGTAGAAGCACGGTGGCTTGGAAAAACTCCCTAGAAAGGCAGAAGAGTGTAAACTGGAGCAGCAGCACGACCAGGTGGACTGGGGACAGCAAGGAGTCATCAGGCCAGGTAGTCCTGAGGCATGGTCCTAGGGCTCAGGTCCTCCGGGATGGGAGGCTTATGCCTGCCCATACCATAACCCCACCGCCAACATGGGGCACTCTGTTCATAACGTTGACATCTGCAAACCGCTCGCCCACACGACGCCATAGACGCTGTTTGCCATCTGCCCGGTACAGTTGAAACCGAGATTCATCCGTGAAGAGCACACTTCTCCAGCGTGCCAGTGGCCATTGAAGGTGAGCATTTGCCCACTGAAGTTGGTTACGACGCCGAACTGCAGTCAGGTCAAGACCCAGGTGAGGACGACGAGCACGCAGATGAGCTTCCCTGAGACGGTTTCTGACAGTTTGTGCTGAAATTCTTAGGTTGTGCAAACCCACAGTTTCATCAGCTGTCCGGGTGGCTGGTCTCAGACGATCCCGCAGGTGAAGAAGCCAGATGTGGAGATACTGGGCTGGTGTGGTTACACTTGAGGCTGGTTGGACGTACTACCAAATGCTCTAAAATGACATTGAAGGCAGCTTAAGTGGATGGATAATCTTGGCAAAGGAGAAATGCTCACTAACAGGGATGTAAACAAATGTGTGCACAGAATATGAGACAAATAAGCTTTTTGTGCGAATGGACAATTTCTGGGATCTATTATTTCAGCTCATGAAACATGGGACCAACATGTTGTGTTTTATATTTTTGTTCAGTATACTTAGCATGTTAGCTAAACCTTCCCCTAACCTTAACCCTTTAACCTAACTTTAACCCTAGCCTAACTAATGTTAGCCAGCTAGCTAACATTAGCCACCTAGCCACTTAGATAGAATTCGTAACATATCATACTAAAAAGTATATCGGATTTACATACAGAATAATACGAACTGCTCTGAGACCAGGTTGCTTTACATACAGAATAATACGAACTGCTCTGAGACCAGGTTGCGTAGTTGAGTGGAGCCTGGCGCTAGGGCGTGAGAGAGGAGTCCGACAGTGCATTCTCAATGGTTATGGTCAAAACATAAGGCAATGGATAAAAGTCATTGATGCATATCGATGATAAAAATATACAGGGTACAGCAAAGTACAGATTGTTCTGCATTGTACTTTCTGGAGAGACGACATTTCTCTTTCATCTAGCTTTGCAAAACTGTCAGCTATGTGATATCTTACATGTATAAATGTGAAATGACTCTCTCCTAGGAAGCATTCTTGTGATTGTAAAACACCGTTTCCCACTGAAGTGGCACTCGATGGCTGTGGTATGTAAACTCACCAGAAGAGGGAGCTGTCCAATTTAGTACCAGATATCACAAATAGGGAGTTCTGTGTTTGGGTGGGTGATGCTGAGAACATGTTACTCAGGCCTATTCTTGCTTGGAACTTATTTTACAACTATTCACCATTTACTAGGCTACAATTAATTTGGCTATATTAGACCATTCACATGTGAATATTTTAATAGAAATCCAATTAAAGGCTGAATTCCTTATTCATTACCTGCACCATTTTTCCATTAAATCATTGAGATGGTTTTAGCATAATGTGCAGAATCATTTCAAATGATTTCCATTTATTGTCAGGAAGAATGCAGATTATAGGCCTATCCATAGAGATCCTATTAAATTATTAGTATTCTAATTCCATGAGCCTATCCGTAATGAGCATTGGTTATGCTTATCACACACACATAGCATAGGCCTACATTTAGACCCATATTTGAATTTTAAATTAGGTGAGACCTGAGTCTGCATCACGGTCTTTCGTACACGAAGGTCCCCAGGGAAAGCCATAACTCTAGTCTATAGGCTACCTGATGCGTTAGGTACTAAATATCCTAATCATTATAATAAAATATGCATCATTTTGATTAGACCATGTTACAAATACATTCCCTTTTCTTATTACGCTCACGCGTATCCCCATGGTTGCCTAGAAACGCGCAAGGCAGTGGGCGCTCCTGACCTTGCCGTCGTGAACGAGCTGCGCGCGCACAAAACGAGAGGGCTAAGATATTAATTTTAATCAAGAAGACAAAATAGAACATATGAATTGAAAGCAAAATATTTCCATTCGATTTTATAAAAAAAAAAAAATGTGATCATCATTGCAGTGCCATGAAAACGAAGTGATATGGAGAAGAACAAGCCCGGGATGAAGAGGAGCCTCCGGTAGAGCAGGTGAGTCGAACATTTCCATTTCCATGAGACGGAGGTTTGGCAAGATCTTACCACACCACATAGCAGGATCGGGGCTGTTCTTTTCATTATGTGATGTTTAATTGTAGTATGTTTAAACTGAATTTAATTATATTATGGTGATATTGAGATGTTTTGCATGTGATAATTAGGTTAAACAGTTGCAACGTTTTATTAGGCTAATCTACCCCATCCTAGGTGTTTATTTGGAGGAGCAGGGAAGTGGCTTCGTCTTTTGTCTTAACGTCTGGTTTTCAGTCTCTTATTCACTCTGAAATTTTAACGCATCGTTGCCTACCTACATCACTGGTGAATCGATGCCACCAGCTCACCTTCAAATAGGTGTACTGTGACGTTATCATTATCTTGACATGTAACTGTGCATGCTTTAGTATTTACATTAAAACGAGTTAGACTAATCGAACGATTTGAAAGGATTAACACTAACAATTAATAAATTGCAAGGGCGCCGGATTTTAGCTATAGCACCTCAGAGGAGTGAGAGACTGCTTTACGCTTTGCGCCGTACTCTCGTTATCTTTTACCCATCACCATTCTGCCAACCGTCACAGGCTGCTGCTACCTTGGAGTCGGTATGATACAATTGGGATTTATTCATACCAATTTAGGAGAGATGTCAAAGCATGTTATGTGTGTCCAATTAGACTCCCCGTGTAGAGTAATAACAAGTTGTCATTTGGGTTGTAGTTGTAATGGTGCTTATGACTGGCATAGCCTATAGAGCTACTGATATCATTAGTGGGCCTGTCGCCGCAATAACGGCCCTAAACCATGTTTTTTTTCTCCAAATGCATGAATACATTTGTTGCCCAGTTTTGGCCCATAATTGCAACATTTGTAGCCTCTATTCGTGATGTTAACACATCAGTTGTGAGTGTAGCTAATTTATGGTTAATTGTATGCATTGGGCATATTTTACTATTCGAATGCATGTCCTACCCTGACAGTTCAAGTGCACTGGGAAATGACCATTGTCCAAGTTCTCTCTGTGTTTTGTGGATCAACAGCGTTTTTATTGGGACTGAGAATTGCGCACAGCTCAGGAAAATAAGACATGTTGCGGCAGTGCTAAATTGAAGACTTTGACATGTCAGTATTCTGAAGTGATGCTTTTAATCTAAGGATGATGAGAACTCAGGATAATGTCTTTATTTTCAATCTAGGCGCATCAGATAGCTCTCACAGCATGGCACCTACAAGAGACAGTGGTGTTGTAATCTATTCGTATTCATGTCTCGTCGTGAAGACTCTTCGATCTCCCCTGCTGGTCTAAACACAATCCTATGTGTTGAGGGAATACACGTCTTCAGCTTTGCCTGGCTTCCTAATTAACGGCTGAAGAAATGCTTAACCTGCTCAAAGAATAAGTAGCCAAGGCTTACTTTGTCAACCTTTAGCCTTTTTTCTCGATCCATACATCGTGCAATAAATTGCAATCATTGCACAAGTTGAAAAGAAAAAAGAGAAACATAACCCTATATGGGTGATAATGAGGCATGATAGAGATTGACTACCCCCCACCCACAGACACATGAACACACATTTACATTTACATGTAAGTCATTTAGCAGACCTCTTATCCAGAGCGACTTACAAATTGGTGCATTCAACTTAGGATAGCCAGTGGGACAACCACCCATTTTTATTTTATGGAAGGGTGTAGAAGGATTACTGTTATACTATTACACATGGGCCTACATGTATTACTCTTTGCTATTGATATTTTTTAAAAGCTGTTGCTGTCATATTTTCACAACACAACTCGTACACTTTTGAAGAGTTAGAGGACTCAGAGATATTTCCGTTTTTTTGATCGAATCAATATCTGTTAATTCCAGAAAATAGTAGTTTTGACTTTCAGGCGCCTCAATACGCTGGTCTAGCAATACAAGATAAGGAAATTGATTTAGGGAAACAAGCTTGTTCTTGCACGTTCTTGGAGTCATCCATATTGACAAGCAAGTACCCAGCCTGATGACCCAGGAGGCTCATTACTCTCTGTTTCTATTGCCTGTGGCTCTGCAACACTGTTGCACTATTTTCATACTATTATATTAGCTGTTTTACTGAAGGGTTGTTGTTGTCATGCTGTTGTGGATCTAAACCAGGGCGACATTGATGGGGGCCACAAAAAAGCTGAACTCATCATGAGGGGCCGCAGTTGCTCTCGGGTCTGCGTACCCACATCCACCACATTGCGAGCAAAACATTATAGCAGCCCCCCTCTTGACAGCGGACAGAAATGTGTTACATTTTAGAGTTGATTTTGTGCAATTCTACAAACTTTGCCATGGGGTGTAGAGCAAATGTTTTAAAGAAAGTTTTCTGCAATTCTACACATTTTGCCATAGGGTGGAGAGAAATCTTTGCAGTTTTTAATATGATATCTGAGTGAGACTGACTGACAAAATCAATGGGGGCCCTCCGGCCAGTAATTTGACCATGATTACTAAGTTTAGATAGCTGGCCGCTAGACTAACCTACCAATCAAAAAAAATTTAGTCACTCAATTATCCCATGTCAGCTATCAGTGACTGACATGACAAGAGAAAAACTGCTGATGCACAGCCACATTTCGAAATTGCACCTTGTGTATTCTACTATTCTAACTCTAAAGTTGAGACCCTGACTGAGCTCCTAAAATTGATCCGAGGCCTTTCAAAAGGGGGGCCGCGGGCTGCCAGTTGCCTATACCTGATCTAAACTATACACATGAGAAAGAACATGATTGTATGGCACTGTACTTCCATCACAGCTTTCCATCCTTCCACTCCAAGGTTACATCAGTGTCGTTAATGCTTTAATACTGAATTGACCCCGAACAAACATTCTTAATGGAGTGGCTTTTTAAAAAACATTTCTGTCTCAAAGATTCATTACTGTCCTTTTACATGAGAGAAAGTGAACGTACAGTACACTAAAGCCCTCACTTCCAGATGCATTGCAGCATACACAGCATTCCGCCTACATTGATGCAGATGCTTTTTCAGATAGTTCAAATCTTCTCCCCATGGTGATGTCAGCCCACACTAGAACCATGAAGAGGTGTTAACACCAAACATGCTGGAAATTATATCGCCTGTTTGTAGAGTAATGCTTATCCCTGGCGATATCGTTGTGAGATATAAAGACAATTGAGGGCAATGAGTATGTCCTCTGTGATATTAACATTTGCATATATTTACATTCACATTCTGCTGGATTACAGACAACACTACCACTCACTCACCACAGTAGTGTGTTCAAATGGTCCCTTGAGTTCTCCCAAGCGATTAGATTGCTTTGAAATGATTGTGTGGGTTTTCTACAGGGAGCCAATCTTCTGTGTAAGCATACGGATGATGAGCTACTCTAGCACTATATATCTAGAAGCCCCAGTTTTCAATTAATCTGCCAACATAGTCCCATCAGAATACTCAGGGGCATTGCAGTAAGCAACCCACACTTTTTTGTTGAAACGCTGATTTCGATGTTTGCTCACCTAACCATTTGTCTCTCTTGTTTGCAGCTCTGGGTTCTGAACAACAATGAGAGTTGAAGCTGGGGATGAGTAAATACCTGGCCTTTGTTTATTTGTTTTTAGTTACAATTGGAGCCCAGGGCAGGTTGAGTAATGCCTGGTTGAGTGGAATACAGTAGGTCATAAGGGTTGAGAGGACACTTGAGTGTACATTGGCGTGGTGCAGGGGCACTCACTTGCCCAGACCATGTGGTTGGCAGAGTTCAGGCACCATCGGTTGCCTGCACACCTATCAAATCGGCGAGGAACCGCAACCATCGCCGCCCGCCATGTTCTTTTACTGTGGATGTTATGTTCCTACTGGCAATTCACAGTGGTGACCAGCCAGAACTTCAACCCAACTGTGAACACCCAGTTTGGGAAGCTGAGGGGCCTCCGGGTCGCAGTGCCAGGTGAGGTCCTTAAACCCATTGACCAGTACCTTGGAGTGCCGTACGCTGCCCCTCCCATTGGGGAGAAGCGCTTCATGCCCCCAGAGCAGCCCTCCTCCTGGTCAGGGATCAAGAATGCTACCCACTTCACGCCTGTGTGCCCTCAGAACATCCGCAACACAGTGCCCGAGATCATGATGCCCATATGGTTCACCTATAACCTGGACACAGTGGCCAACTACATTCAGGATCAGAACGAAGACTGTTTGTATTTAAACATCTATGTTCCAACAGAGGATGGTGAGTGGAACGGGTAAAATAGACCAAAGGGACAATCCATGCTGTTTACTGTATTGGCCTTGCTGTCACCTTGCGATCATCATGTTTAGAGCATGCAGTAGTTATCATTGTGCATTCCATTTGTGCCACCCCAAGTTGTTTTCCCATCCAAAGTCATGTCATCAACTACTCTTCACCCCTTAAGTGTTGGCTCCCTTCCTTGTGTTCTGTAAGAGGAAAATGCATTCACACACTGATATAAAACTTATTCATGTGTCAGACAACTAATAATTTAAAGTCAGAATATAGCCTACAGCATTTCCTAACCTAACTACTGGGAATAGGCCAATAGGTGTGATAAATGAGATTCAAACATTTGTTAGGCTGATGAAATATTTATTATTGTGCGCTAGAGGTCTGTTGTTTACAATGTGAGCGCCTTAACAGTGTAAGAATCTGTGGTGCAATACAATTATATATTTTTATGTTATGGATCTGTAGATCAATATTAACTGGACAAAATCAGAGCTGCTTGATTTCCAGTAAACACTTTTGTGATTGATGAACACATTTCCGTTCCTTAATTTTTTTGTACAGTATTAGGGTTCACACAATATACAGACAGAGTACATGTGAAAATGGACTGTGTACAACATTGTGAATTGATTATGATTTTATTTTATTAATATCTCTAACCCCCTATCCCACTACCTCCCTTTAGTTCCTAAGGTGATTCAAAGTGGACCTGGTTGGGAGTTGGGTGCCTGCATGTTTCTTAAATTTTTCAGAGCCTTCTGTTATTTTGTAGTCTCTCATTCATTTTTCAGTCAAAAGAATATCCAAGGAATGTGCCAGAAAACCCAACAAGAAAGTATGTAGAGAAGAAGGTATGTAAGCTAACAAAGGAGTTTAAAGGAGCAGACTGACTTGGGAGTCGGCTCAAAACCAAGATCACAACATCATCGTCTTTGAAAATTAAACAGAGTTAAACACAGCAGACACCGATAAATGTCGGTCAGAGGTGTGCGTGTGTGTGTGTGTGTTCAGAGATGAAGTGTGTTCCTGAGAGTAAGATTATTCCACACAATAACATCCACCCATGACATCTTTATTTGAAGAACACATTTATTTCTATACAATTTCATTTTTTATTTGATTGGAAAACCATCTATAAACAAATCAACATATTGACTTCAAAAGATGCTGTTGGTACAATATGTAAATAGCCTATTTTTTCTGAACGAGTCAAGACAAGGAAAAGGAGACTAGATCATATTTCCTCCCTCTGCTTAAAGAACAGACATGCTTACTTCTTTTTACAGTAATGCCATTTTTGACTGATTTCCTTCCTTGGTGGTCAATCGTGCTATTTTTGAATTCTCTTGTTCTTTCTTGTTTTTTCCTCCCTCTATGTGAATCCTAGCGACCCAAATCAAGAGTCAAGGAGCGGATTTCTCTCACAGTGACAGTGAAGGTATTTTTGGTGCTCAAAGTTTAATGCACAACTTTTAAATTTTTGATATTTCCACAGATCTTTGATTTCTTGACAAACCTTTTACACTTCAGAAGTAGTTAAACCTTAGTTTATCAGTTGGCATGCAAAGTCAATAATAAGTCACTTGAATCTCTCAGCACCTTCTCTATTTCACTCTTAATTGATTTGATCTGGACATATCATATCTGCAGTATTTTTTGTGTCATGGATTTTTTTGGGACAATTAAATCTTATTTTGCCCTCTAACAGCCCCCTGAAGACAAATGTAGGTATGCTGGTCGATTTGTCATTGATCCCAAATGTACTGTACTCCATTTGTACAATGGGTTATTTCTTGTCTCTTTGTGCCTATACCAGGGGAAGGCAACCCTGTTCCTGGAGAGCCACAGGGTATGCAGGATTTTGCTTTAACCGACCTGGAAGACCAGGTGTGTTGAATTTAGTAAATCACTGAACTGATCAATTAGCTCAGTTTGTCAGTTAAATGATAGACACATTTCATCACACCTGGTCTTTCAGGTCGGTTAAAGCAACATCACGCATACCCTATGGCTCTCCAGGAACAGGGTTGCCTTCCCGTGGCCTAAACCAATCAACAAAGAGCTTATTTTTTTCAGCACTATACATTTAATGTGAGTGCAATAAATGCACACATACAGTACCGCTTCATGTTTTGAAAAGTGACCATTTTGCTGTGTCTTCTAGGGATCACAGACTGTGATGTCTATAACCAACTGCATCTTATCTCAAAGTCTCCTCCACTACACTCTGCGGGTCTCATGGGAAGAGCGTACTAGTGACTCATGAGGATGAAGCTATTACTATTCACTACATACCGTGCTGTTCAGGAGATTGGTGTCTTTGTTATTTTATGGCAACTCACGCCTCTCACGTTGACATAGAACTTACAATTCAGGTCATATGCCTTATTCTGACCAACAAACTAGATCAAATTGTTGTTGTTGTTTTAGATGCAGAGAAAGTCAGGTACTGCAATTTAACCACTAATATGACAAATGCACAAAAACCACCACCTTGCCTGAAGAAGCATGCTCTGTTGAACACATAGTGAGCAAATATAGTATGAACCACTTTAGAGATACTAGATGTGTAAAAAGTATTGCTAATAATAGAATAGTAGTATATGGCTCTAGTATGAACACAGTTTTGTGGGGGCAAAAGAGTGAGCTTGACATAATATATAGATATTTTATTTAATTTTTTCTACTGCACGTTCCTTGTTCGGCCTGTATGATGAGTATCCTTGCTTTGCATTCTTGTCTCCATTGGTGCGTCACAACCACGACCCTAATCACCCAAGCACATCTGCTAAAATTGATGCCATTACCTTGAGCTTACCTTCAGCTTTAGTGGTGTAAATGTTGCTGAGTCTAGTTTCTGAGAGGGGTTACAGTATTCTGATGTTGCATTGCATTACCTTGCCTGTAAAGCTTTACTGTACTAAGCGTAAGTGGCTGATTCTCTCTGCAGACATTCGGGACACTGAGGCTAGGCCTGTGATGGTCTACATCCATGGAGGATCCTACATGGAGGGGACAGGGAACATGATTGATGGGAGTGTGCTGGCCAGCTATGGGAATGTCATCGTCATCACTCTCAACTACAGGGTCGGAGTACTAGGTAATGGGATCCTCTTACTGTCTCTGAATGGTGTTTGTGGACATGATTTTCAGCCTAGAAGAGTACATACAGTACTGGCATAGGATTGAGAAATGTTCTTCTTCGCATAACGTTGATCTCCCAACAGAGATCCTGTTAAAGTTAGAGTTCTAATATGTTATTCTATGGATCTCCCCACCAGAGTTTATGAATTTGTTAAATTTCTTTGACTTGCTATATGACTCATTTTCTCCTGATGTATAATGTATAATCCCAGGTATTTTTTAGTATGTTGATATTGTATTGATGAGGGAGTAAGATTAGAAATGCAACAATGTAATGTCCTCAGTCAGCGGGCAATGGTTGTGAATATCCATCACCTTCTACTTCATATACAAGCTACAATATTCCAAAACACTGTTTCAATTACTGTTCAATTTTTTTGGGGGGAGGTGAATTTATCTAACCTGCAGAGAGATTGAGCGCTTTTGGCAGCCTATATGATTTAAATAAGAAGGGATGCAGGAGTCACAGCCAAGGTCGAGAATCTTTCTTGTAGGAGTGACATCGCAGCTGTAACACTTCATCTATCTGCCCCCCTCTCCGTGATTGATACTGGTGCTGTCTTGGCTCTGCCCCAAGGTAGACTGCCTCTATACACACAGCATAGTGGAGAAAAGGACAAGTTGCAACTCAAGGAGCCGTGCAGCAAGAGTGTCCTTATGAGAAGGGTCAATGGTGTCAGAAACAGAAGAGGGTTGTGGAGGTAGAGGAGAAGAATGATGTTCTGAGAATGATGTACCACCTCCAAACTACTTCCCGCGGCTATGGTATGCTGAACCACAGATAAAAGTGTTAAAGAAATAACCTAAATAACACTGATATCCTCTTCTGTACATTCCAGGGTTCCTCAGTACAGGTGACCAGGCAGCTAAAGGAAACTATGGACTCCTGGACCAGATCCAAGCCCTTCGTTGGATCAGCAAGAACATCGGCTATTTTGGAGGAGACCCGGGTCGTATCACTGTCTTTGGATCTGGGATTGGAGCCTCCTGCGTCAGCCTGCTCACACTGTCCCACCACTCTGAGGGTAAGACCAAGACTCAACCTGGAGAGACAGGGGAGGGGGGATGGGGATAGTCACCAGTGAATCGCATGCCCAATGGCGACGCCTTCATATATACAGTGCATTCGGAAAGTATTCAGACCCCTTGACTTTTTCCACATTTGTTACGTTACAGCCTTATTCTAAAATTGATTAAATTGTTAATTTCACCTCATCAATCTACACACAATACCCCATAATGACACAATACCCCATAATGACACAATACCCCATAATGACACAATACCCCATAATGACAAAGCAAAAACAGGTTTTTACACATTTTTACACATTTATTAAAAATCAAAACGGACATATGACATTTACATAAGTATTCACACCCAAAGTACTCAGTACTTTGTTGAAGCACCTTTGGCAGCGATTACAGCCTTGAATCTTCTTGGGTATGACGCTACAAGCTTGACACACCTTTATTTGGGGAGTTCCTCACATTCTTCTCTGCAGGTCCTCTCAAGCTCTGTCAGGTTGGATGGGGAGCATCGCTGTACAGCTATTTTCAGGTCTCTCCAAAGATGTTCGATCGGGTTCAAGTCCAGGCTCTGGCTGGGCCACTCAAGGACATTCAGAGACTTGGCCCGAAGCCACTCCTGCGTTTTCTTGGCTGTGTGCTTAGGCTCTGTCGCAGCCGGCCGCGACCGGGAGACCCATGGGCGGCGCACAATTGGTCCAGCGTCATCCAAGGTAGGGGAGGGTTTGGCCGGCAGGGATGTGGGTTCGTTTCCCATGGGGGGCCAGTATAAAAAATAAAAATATAAAAAAACCTGTATGCATTCACTAACTGTAAGTCGCTCTGGATAAGAGCGTCTGCTAAATGACTAAAATGTAAAATGTAAATGTCGTTGACTTTCGCCCCAGTCTGAGGTCCTGAGCGCTCTGAAGCAGGTTTTCATCAAGGATCTCTCTGTACTTTCCTCCGTTCATCTTTCCCTTGATCCTGACTCTACTCCCAGTCCCTGCTGCTGAAAAACATCCCCACAGCATGATGCTGCCACCACCATGCTTCACCATAGGGATGGTGCCAGGTTTCCTCCAGACGTGACGCTTGGCATTCGGGCCAAAGAGTTCAATCTTGGTTTCATCAGACCAGAGAATGTTGTTTCTCATGGTCTGAGAGTCCTTTAGGTGCCTTTTGGGAAACTCCAAGCGGTCTGTCATGTGCCTTATACTGGGGAGTGGCTTCCGTCTGGCCACTACCATAAAGGCCTAATTGGTGGAGTGCTGCAGAGATGGTTGTCCTTCTGGAAGGTTCTCCCATCTCCACAGAGGAACTCTGGAGCTCTGTCAGAGTGACCGTCGGGTTCTTGGTCACCTCCCTGACCAAGGCCCTTCTCCACTGATTGCTCAGTTTGGCCGGGCAGCCAGCTCTAGTAAGAGTCTTGGTGGTTCCAAACCTCTTCCATTTAAGAATGGTCACTGTGTTCTTGGGGACCTTCAATGCTGCAGAAATTTTTTGGTACCCTTCCCCAGATCTGTGCTTCGACACAATCCTGTCTCGGAGCTCTACGGACAATTCCTTCGACCTCATGGCTTGGTCTTTTCTCTGACATGCATTGTCAACTGCGAGACCTTATATAGACAGGTGTGTGCCTTTCCAAATCATGTCCAATCAATTGAATTTACCACAGAAGGACTCCAATCAAGTTGTAGAAACATCTCAAGGATGATCAATGGAAACACGATGCACCTGAGCTCAATTAGGAGTCTCATAGCAAAGGGTCAGAATACTTATGTAAATACGGTATTTCTGTTTTTTATTTTTAATAAATTTACAAACAACCTGTTTTTGCTTTGTCATTATGGGGTATTGTGTGTAGATTGATGAGGAAAAAATCAATTTAATAAATTTTTGAATAAGGCTGTAATGTAACAAAATGTGCAAAAAGGGAAGAGGTCTGAATACTTTCCGAATGCACTGTATACTGAACAAAAATATAAATGCAACATGCAACAATTTCCAAGATTTTACTGAGTTACAATTCATATAAGGAAATCAGTCAATTGAAATAAATTCATTAGGCCTTAATCTATGGATTTCACATGACTGGGAATACAGATATGCATATGTTGGTCACAGATACATGTAGTGTATGTGGACACCTGCTTGTTGAACATCTCAGTCCAAAATCATGGGCATTAAAATGGAGTTGGTCCCCCATTTGGTGCTAAATCAGCCTCCACTCTTCTGGGAAGGCTTTCCACTAGATGTTGGAACATTGCTGCGGGGACTTGCTTCCATTCAGCCACAAGAGCATTAGTGAGGTCTGGCATTGATGTTGGGTAATTAGGCCTGGCTCGCAGTAGGCGTTCCAATTCATCCCAAAGGTGTTCGATGGGGTTGAGGTCAGGGCTCTGTGCAGGCCAGTCAAGTTCTTCCACACCGATCTCGACAAACCATTTCTGTATGGGCCTCGCTTTGCGCATGGGGGCATTGTCATGCTGAAACAAGAAAGGGCCTTTCCCAAACTGTTGCCATAAAGTTCGAAGCACAGAATCGTCTGGAATGTCATTGTAAATCAAATCAAATCAAATCAATTTTTATTTGTCACATGCGCCGAATACAACAGGTGTAGACCTTACAGTGAAATGCTTACTTACAAGCCCTTAACCAACAATGCAGTTTTAAGAAAGAATACCAAAACAAATCACAAAAAAATACAATATAAAATAATACGAAGTAAAAGTAACAAATAATTAAAGAGCAGCAGTAAAAATAACAGTAGCGAGGCTATATACAGGGAGTACTGGTACCGAGTCAATGTGCGGGGGCACCGGTTAGTCGAGGTAATTGGGATAATATGTATATGTAGGCAGTGGCGGCTCCTGAAAAAATTATCAGGGGGGGCAATTTTTCTGATGATTTAGGTGACCTACACACATTTTAAAAAAGATATGTCCAGCAACAACATGAAGACAGGGGCAGCATATAAGTCAATACCAGAAGCATTTATTGACTGATCTCAAAAGTGTTGGCTTACAAAAGCAAAATAAGTTATCACAGTAAAAATAATCAAGGGTGTTCTTTCACATTCCTCAACACTGCATAAACAATATGCATTTCCATAAAACACCTCATCTAATTGTGCCACAAAGTTGACAAGTCCAAGAAAAATACCAGGGTTGGTGGAGCCCTCAGTTTCATCTTTGCCTCGCAAAGCTAACTCAAACACTCCGCAAAACTTCACACACTGGATTAGCCGGCTGAGGATGTGGCGGTTCTTGCTAACCTCATCGTTGTGGCGGCGGACAGCTAGCCTGTATCCCTCATCCAGTTGAGTGGCAATGTTCACTCTCCCCAAAGCAGACAATCTCAAACAGCTATCCATGTGGGTCTTTGACAGCTCATGTTTCTTAATCTTTTCTGAAAGATGGTGCATGTCCGTTACACCAGTCGCTGTCCAAGCGGTGCTGTCTGCCGTGCCGCCTTCAGGGTGAAAGAGTAAGCAGGGGTAGCAGAAGACTGCATTAGCTACATCGCAGCCTGCTAGCCAGGTTTTTCGTTCGTACCAACTTTCCCCCTTTAGTAGAAACCTGTTGAATTATTAAATTTGGTCTGGGAGGTCCTAATTGTTTCGTTGCCAATTTATCTTGAGTTGTTCGCCGACAAAAAGGAACTTCTTTCAAAGAGACAATCGAGTTGCACTGAACGCTAGCCATCTTGACAGTAGTACGTGAATTGATTGACGCTGCTACCCGCTCTTTTCTTAGTTACGTTCATGGTTATGTTACGTATGACGAAAGCGTGTAAGTGCAAGCCCTCCCGGAACCCATAGAGATTGTATTGAAAGCTCTGATATTTGAAAAAAAAAGATTTTACATGAGAGTCTATGAGAGACTTCTGGGGCGATTTTCAACCTGACTGAAATCGCCCCAAAAGGGGCGGGGCCATTTGAAGCACGACTTTAGCCTGATTGGACATTTAGTGGCAGATCAGACGTCTAGATTAGAACACTGATAACTACTGTTGCCGTGATATAATTGATTAGAAAAAAAATCCCTTCCTTTTCCCGTTTGGCAGTGCGTCACCCATATCGCCCTAATGAACACACCGCCCCTGCATGTAGGTAGAGTTATTAAAGTGACTGCATAGATAATAAACAGAGAGTAGCAGCAGCGTAAAAGAGGGGCAATGCAAATAGTCTGGGTATGTATGGTGTAACATTAAGATTTCCCTTCACTGGAACTAAGGAGCCGAGACTGAACCATGAAAAACAGCCCCAGACCATTATTCCTCTGCATTGGGGCAGGTAGTGTTCTCCTGGCATCTGCCAAACCCAGATTCGTCCGTCGGACTGCCAGATGGTGAAGCGTGATTCATCAATCCAGAGAACGCGTTTCCACTGCTCCAGTGTCCAATGGCGGCGAGCTTTACACCACTCCAGCCAATGCTTGGCATTACGCATGGTGATCTTAGGCTTGTGTGCGGCTGCTTGGCCATGGTAAACCATTACATGAAGCTCCAGACGAACAGTTCTTGTGCTAACTTTGCTTCTGTAACCGGTGTGAAATGGCTAGCTAGTTAGCGGTGCGCGCTAGTAGGATTTCAATCGGTGACGTCACTCGCTTTGAGACCTTGAAGTAGTTGTTTCCCTTGCTCTGCAAGGGCCACGGCTTTTGTGGAGAGACGGGTAACGGTGCTTCGAGGGTGACTGTTGTCGATGTGTGCAGAGGGTCCCTGGTTCAGGCCCAGGTTGGGGTGAGGAGAGGGACGGAAGCAACACTGTTACACTTCCAGAGGCAGTTTGGAACTCAGTAGTGAGTGTTGCAACCGAGAACAGATCATTTTTACGGGCTACACGCTTCAGTATTCGGCGGTCCCGTTCTGTGAGCTTGTGTGGCCTACCACTTCACGGCTGAGCCGTTGTTGCTCCTAGACGTTTCCACTTGACAATAACAGCACATACAGTTGACCGCGCCAGCTCTAACAGAGCACAAATTTGGCGAACTGACTTGTTGGAAAGGTGGC